TGTTTGTTTATGCACTAGAAGAATCGTCAAGAGGAATCTGCAAACAAACATCTTCGAGATCCATTTTGGAAAGGTATTTTGAGCAGTTTGTACAGAATGTCCTCAGTTTCTGGCGTAATGCAGCTTTGCTGCGGTAAGTGACTATTGAGTGTAAGGCAGTATTCACGACAAATCCTCGATGTTTTCTCAGCAGGCTTTATTGGCGTCACAGTGGGAGTAGCTTAATCCCAAGATTGAACTGGCATAAATATCCCTTGTTTAACTCCTTCTTAACTGCATCTCGCAAACCGTATGGAATCAATCGACGCTTTAGAAAGAGAGGATCACTCTCTATTTCAAGATGGATGAGCTGAACCTTCACGCCATCTACACAGTTTGGACATTGAAAAACTAATTCTCTGAACAAAGATTCATCGAACAACTCAGTGAAAAGTGAGATTCGGAAATCCAACAATCTAAGGGCTTTTAATCCTAATAAAAGTGGACCATATTCACCGACAAGAAAGGGAATATTCACAAAACTACCACTGTATGATTTCAAACCAATGTTAGTAGCACCAATAAAAGGTGGTTTATGACCAGTAATACCTGTAACTAAACTAGTAGTAGGGTCTAATTAAGCATGCTTACAAAACGATAGTAGATTTTTCTTAGACTCAGTACTCCTAGTATGAATTGTAAAAGAGTGAGACTTGCTTGAACTTGTAGTGGAGGTTCTCACCAGATGAGATTCCGTGCTGTGAAAAGTTGAAAGAGGCACTGACTCAATTTTACCAAACAAATTAGAAGAATCATGAGAATTCTGAGTAGAATAAGTATTCGAACTCCTGTACCCAATCTTACCAAAATTATGACACAGCACCGCGAAAACGACAAGTGTTTCGTAGATGAATCTTTCCACATGAAAAACACGTTTTGATGTTTTTACTCTCTGTCTGCATTCTATCACATGTGGATGACAGTTTGGATTTCTTTTTATGAACACTTGCATTATCAATTTTGGATAGCATGACATAAGACACTGAGGTAGTGGGTATTCACTGGATATTCACTGCTGACATCTTCATATGTAATGCATAAATGCTTAGCAGTTTGAAAGGTGTAGGAAGGAATCTGAATCTTAGCTGTACTGTTTAGAAAGATCAAGCTATTCAAAATGAGTATGTTTATTGGACTCTTTCGAAATGTTTGATAGGTATTATGATAGTCTCAATAATTTAACAAATTTAGAACACAAATCAAAAGAAGAGGAGAGGCTGAATATCACATTCATGGGAAATGTATCTATGGATATGTAAGTGAATATATGAAGAAGAATAAATAGAGCTAACAACTGTATTTAATAAATTCTTCTTCGGACTCTACGGTTATAAATCCCCAAGAATGTTGAATAATAATGGGTTTATTCCAATTCACAACTGCCAAAATGAAGTGCACTACCATTGCACCCGGTTTCTTTTTTATATCTCACTGTAAGATGAAAGATAACTACATAACTTCTTTTAACATTCTCAATAATAACAATGGAGATAATTTAAAAATGTAATAATTGTAAATTAATAGAAGTAGTGACATCAGAATATCAGTGATAGGAAAGATTAAAAGCCGGCTGTTTACTGTACCACAGTAATTTTATACTTTCACGCATAATCCTTTTATTATCACATAAAAAGAGCTTCAAATAAGATACCATGAACCTTTTAAATTTAGTATTGCAAGCACAAAGTTCTACCTGAGGAGATTCAAGGGAAGAGTTGTGAATAAGGACACACGAAGCGCTTGTTAAGAATACCAACAAGGAGAGAGGTTATGTATCTGCTTTCCATCAGTAGTTCCCTTGAATAGTTTCTGCATATTTGAGGATGTTTGACATGATAAAACGTTTGCTTATATATCACATGTAATCTTTATATTTTAGAGTTGACTCAAATTTTCAGTCTTTTCACACTGGAGTTATACTTCCGTATCTCTGTAAAGCTTTTCCTTTGAGAAGAGGAAAAACGATCAAATCTTATGAAGAGTGTCTCTCTTAGGAAACAAATGTCAACAAAGAATTTGAGAGGACCTGTTACATTTGTGATAGCTTAATCTACGACTTGTTCAGTAAGAAAGATTCAGGATTTTAATGTGCTTCTGAGATACTGTATGCTATCCTGAGGGGAACATCTGTGTTGGGTTTACTTGAAAAGACACCATAAGGCTCCTTTCTGTAATTTGCTATATATTTTTAGCAACATCCGTGTAATATAATCATCAGAATTTAGTAGTGGAACTTGTTTGCCAGATTCATATATAGCGAAGTAATATTTAAATACTAGAAATACTGTGTTATCCAGTCAAGTCTCAAAGATGATAATATTTTCATTACCTAGTGATGTAAGGAAAATGTAGTTACAAGGATTAAAATCTCTAGTGACCAGTAACGAGGAGTTACCAAGTTAAGTAGCCACAATAACGGTGAATTTACCAACAAAGATGAACAAATCTAAGAGACCGTAACATATGTGTTCGAAATGCAAATATAATTGTACTTAAACAGACGTCTCAGGTGATATCTGATAATACAAAAATCAACACTGTTAACATACAATAACTGGTAAAAGCTAATAAAGTATAATTATATTTCATTGTGTGTAAACTATTGAAATATAATAATTATACTTTATTTGATCTAAACCACAATGCTCAAACTTTTTACTGATATTAATGTTAAAAGCTAATTAAAATTATATCAGAAACTTCATTGTTGTACAAGTTTAAGGTGATATAAAATAGTCGGTTAGCTGTGAATTTCTTTCAAATGAATATAAAACACATGATCAATAAGAGCATGAGATTAAATAACTGAATGTCATGTGAATTTTCAGTTTATGAAAAGAAATGTATGTAAAGAAAGTATATGAACTGTGCAATTTACGGATTTCTATAACTTCGTTGTTTTCCAGTACAAAAATTCTATAAAGAAGCTCATTTACTCAGTGAAAGCTACCTGTTTAGTAGACGTGACTGAGAATAAGCTAAAGGTTTTGAGCAATATCACACGTCAAAATTACTTTCCAGAAACGTTCATAAGAAAGCTCCGAATGTAATAAAAACTTTTTACCAACTGAGGACAAGAATCTAATCCATTGAGAATTACAATTAAGAGGTAATGCACCAATGAAATAATGATAAAAAAGTAAGGAAATAAATTCTGAGAACCTTTAATATCGCCAAATAGCAGCTTGTTTTCTACACTCCGAGTTATAAAACCAAAAGTGAAAGGTGAAAAGCATGGACTATTCACCTCTTCTTGTATTTATCACTTCAACGGCAAATATACAGCTCTTAGAAATTTAATTCTTCTTTCTGAGGAACATCTACCAGTGCGTCTAAACAAAGGAATAATAAAAAGAATTAACAGTTGGGTGCTAGCACACCTACTTCAAACAGAACACAACACAGGGGCTGAAGAATCATTCTCCATTGTCTATCACGTAATTATTTAATTGTCATAAACCCCCTAGTTAGCAAACAATTTAAAAAAAGGAAGTATTTTCAATGCACTTGTAACAGCCAGAACTGTGTATACAGAAGAAACAAGTTCTGTCACTACCGTTCTGCTGTGTGATCTGTAAATTCATAAAGACTATGACATCTTGCCTTTCAGATATGTGTACATTCCTGCCATCCTATATTTATTACTTTTTCAATGAAATCAATGGGATCTATTCATATTCAGACCCTTATACCTACAGGACAAGACATTCATTTTCTTAATTAATAGTCAATCAAAAAAATTAAGGTTTCTAAAGGTGAGTTGTGGTCAGCAGCATGAGAGGAAATATCAATACTAAAAAAACAAACAAATAAATGTGATACGCCAGATTTAATTCAAGGGATGACAAATAGCGATAGTAATGAGGAATTAAAAATATTAGTGTTCTGTAAATACGGTGAAAAGGGAATATGCAAATACAATGACATATGTGAAGAATATTAAGTAAACCTAAGGCAACAGACCCAGTTAGAAAGGTTATGAATTCCCAAAACGCCTAAAATAATAGCTTCCTAACAAAATAAAAGGAAAGAGAGAAAAAATTGGTTTCAGAGTATTAATTACAAATGTTCATTTGAAGATTTGTTGACTTTCTTTTAGGCCAAGGTAAACAAATTTCCTGTCACAATAAAATTCACGATATTGTTTTAATTTGGTTCTGCTGGCAGTTATATGATAACAAGGATGGATTTACAACTGTAGAGTTCAAAGAAGAATTTATTAAAAACAATTTTTTCTGTTAACTATTCTTATTCGAAGCAAATTATGAATATAGTCATTTATGAATATGAAGCAAAAAGTTTTTCTAATTGTTAACAGTAAAAAGTCGGCTGCCTCTGTGCTATATCAAATAGATTTCTTGAGTACGGAATTATATTTTACAGCAGTGTCTTATTTCTGTCTTAGTATAGTTATCATTAGCACTGAATGTGAATTTGAGCCATTCTTGCTGCAGATAGTTCTAATAGACAAATAACAAGTCAAATAGAAGGTTACAAAAGTGAACATATGTGAAGCGTAATTTTTTAAAATGATAGTCATTAAATATCTATCAGATAAGTGTACCAGCTAACACCGCTTTATATTCTATTTTCAATTTAAAGGTCTCTTTATAAAGCAGTAACTAGTGCATCCTTCATATTGTGATATTAGTTGTGTCCTACGTATCAGGAAAATGAAACAAACACTACTTAAGCAACAGTAACTGCAAGTTTTGAATTATTTTTATCTTATTTTTATCTCACACTGACAGCCTAATTCAAAAAATTAATGAATGTGTCCGTCTAGATCTAGAAACATACAAGAGTTTACCTTTCTTTTAAATGGTATTAACGAAATCACCAATAAAACTTGGGTATTATTATTTAACTGTTGATTGGTCAAAGAAAATATTTAGAAAATGTGTGGGCGATAGAGTTAAAACAAAAATGACTTCATTCAACTTGTTATCCTAATAAGTCGATGCTACTGAAATGTTTGTGGGATAAAATTTAATGTTAATTTCAGAAAACAATATTTCAGTACATAAAACAATTTTCAATGATTATAATCAGTGATTATTAAAAGCCATGAATGCAGAAAGTATTTGCCAAACTGAGAATTCTAAATCGAATGTATTCCAAGGTAGTAAATCTTTTTTTGATCGTCAAAAGGAACGTTTAATTTCACATTCTCATCTATCAAAGCTTCCCTCTAATATGGAAGTAATAAAAAACCAACTGTTCGACAATTCCAGAACAATCAGAACAGATAACCCTGACAAACTCCCACGTCTTTCTGAGTGTTCTCTGTCCGAACCCACAATTTACAAAGCGAAGACCACATCTGCCTGGATTATTACTGTATGCTCAGAAATATGGACAAGACTGTTATCATCCCGTAGACAAGATTCTAATTCGAATGACAGAAAAAATCAAATATCTGGTTCTGAACTTGTCTCTTATTTAATGACTGAAGAAGATAAAACTGATCGCAGCTTGATTTGCGGTATTTGGCAAGTATTATTAGATGAAAAAGCTATCGAAACTATCCCACCTCCTAATTCAAACCAGCAGTTTAACTCTATTGAATTCTATGATAAAGACGATGTTTTTTATGTTTGCAACCGTTTAAAAGATAAACGTCTTTCTATTGAAGAAGCATTAGCAACTACTGAAATCTGTCCAAATATCACTGGTATAAACAATACAGAAAGCTGTGAAACGCTAAGCTCTATAAACAAACATCCTGATGATCATATTGCACAAACTGAATCACAAACTATTTTGAGTGAAAAAGACGGCGATCAAATAGATGTGGATGACACTAGTAGCATCGAAGAAGGGTATCAGGTATTGATCGACAGATTGTATCGTTTGGCACCAGAAGCACTGTTTCGTAAAATTCTCCAAAAACCGCCAGCTGAACGAACTGAACATGAACTGGAATATGTTTATCAGGAGTTATTATTGGTCCCGGCGTTAGCATCATTTTCGATGTCTGTTCGACAGGAGTTATGTAAATGTTTACGTTATGAAGTACATCAGCATGCTTCAAATGTTGTTTTTTATCAAGGAGATCCAGGCATCTCATGGTATATTATTTGCCGTGGTAGTGTATGGGTGCATGTCGATGGCCAGGGCTATGTATGCCGTCTTTGTGAGGGAGATGACTTTGGTAAACTTGCACTAGTAACAGATGCACCAAGAGCTGCAAGTATTATTTTAGCAGAAGACAACTGTCATTTTCTAAAATTAGATAAGGATGACTTCAACAGAATTTTGCGCAATGTTGAGGCGAATACTGTACGCTTAAAGAAAAATAACTCAAATGTTCTAATTTTAGAGCGTATTCAAGATGTAAAATTTTCCACATGTCCACAGGCTGAAACATCAGGTAATTTTGGGAGAGAATCGAACAGTGTGGGTTGTTTAAATTATTCAATAATTGCTGGAACAGTTGAACATATTCTTCATTACTTAATAGAGAGTCGGTTAAATGGACTGGAAAATCAGTTAAATTTGTTAATTTCCGATGAAATGTTCCCAGTTTATTTATGTCCACGTACACCAATCGGTTTGGATCAAACATGGCAGAATTTCTTTCTCACTTATTTGATATTTTCAACAAATAGAGAAATCCTTGTATTTTTATATGAATATTTAGGCTGTGATAAGGCAATTGAAACTATGCATACTGAGGACCACAGCGGTGATGAGAATTGTGAAAAAGATTGGCGATTTCCTATCGGTATTCAGTTCGATATTATTAAAATTAACCGCGTTATTGTACTGTTTTATATATGGCGTTATTGTCTCGGCTTGTCTATGTTTGCAAATCAGGATGGTGTCAACCAATTCATAATGAATTTAAGAACAGCTTTGAAAAGTTCTGACACCGTTACTGCAACTGATAATGTGATAGGTAGTAATACTGGTGGTGACTCAGGAAATGTAAGAAGTTTTCAACTGCAGATAGTCTGTTTGGATAAACTTCTAAAAAGAAATTCAAAACTGATGATTGTAAAGCCGATTTCTGAGAAACAGCAAGTGCTGCCTTCTAATTTTCTGCATTTCCCGTGCAACTTTCTACGTACTCTACCATTTGTTTGCACTAGTAAACGCGGAATGTCGAAAATGCATAAACAACAATTTTCATCCAGTGGAGATCATAGTGATATACAGACGTCTGTCAGCCACAATATTAATCAACGTGTAAAATCTTTTGAAATTCAAGATATCGCTGTTTATGGCTCACCGAATCATGCACAGCATTTGGAATCTAAATCAAATCACACATCTACACCTAGTTTGCTTTTCGGTTTCCAGATATATCCAAATAATTTGCCACTGGTGAAGACAATACACACAGTAACATTTAATATTTATATTAGTGAATTACAAAGGCAAGTTGAAGCTACAGTCCCAATCGAATCAACGGTCTATGAAATTAAACAGTCAATAATATCCGACTGGCAGTTGAAAAGTGAAATTAATGATCTGAGATTAGTAGAAGTGTTCTCTAAAGGTGATTGTACAGTTTATCAAGATACTGAGTGTGGAGTTATGTTTGGTTTATCATTAAATGGTAGATTATTTTTGGCTTCAGAGAAAGGAGTACAAAGTCTTGTACCTTTGGCTGAACAGCTATCAGTTGCAATGAATTTTTTGGACCAAACTGATGCAGATCGTGTCAGAGGTAGTCATCAACATGAAACAACAGCTCACTGGAGTCTAATAAATGATATTCCATTACTAAAAAAGAATCGATCGATTAGAGCTGCGGTCAAATTATTAGATGAACTGAATGTAGACGAACTGGCTGCAACTTTATCATGTTGTCATGCTCAATTAGCAGTTTGTATACATCCACAAGAGTTACTAGACTTTGTAATTGGCGGTAGTAAAACAAGTAATCCGTGTCCACATGTACGAACTCTTGTTAGACGTTTTAGTCTGCTTCACGCATGGACTATTACTCAAATAGTAACAACTTGTAACCTAACCAGGCGTGCAAATCTAGTCAAGAAACTGATCAAATTAGCTGATCGCCTCATTTCACCTCCTTTATATGACTTGTACAGCTCATTCGCAATCCTTCTAGGGTTGCAAAATTCAGCAATCACACGACTTACTCACACTTGGGAACGTGTGCCAAGTCGATGGCGTCGTATTCTTAATGATAGCTTACTGCCACTCATTGATCCTGCAAAAAATCATCGAGCTGCTAGGTTATGGAATAATCACACAATTACCAATGCTGCTTCAACTGCTACCACCAAAAGTGGTAGTATTATTGGAGTAGCAAACTCACCACGTCTTCCATTTCTGGCACTTATATTGAAAGATTTAAGATTTGGAGAAGATGCCAATCAAACAGAATATCAGCAGTCAGAAGATGGAATACGTCTGATAAATTTTGAAAAAATGAGACTTATAGCAAGATCTCTGCGTTCATGGATAAATTCAATTTCCGGATATGAAATGCTTCACCCTCATAATCACTTTATAAGTCCAGAGATTAACAAGACAAACTCCTCAGCTGTTGCCAATATAACTGTACAAAAATTGTTGGAAGTGCCTACTGAATCGCAAATGTTCGTATTAGAACACTTGGAATGCATTGATGATCCTCGTGTCATTACACAGCTATCTTTAAGACTTGAGCCAAAAAAGTGAGTTGAATGCTGTGACAAGATAAACTATTGTCTACATCCTTCAAATATTTTGAGATTGGTATATATATTTCAAGATGAGTTGCTTTTGTACATAAAATATTGATTTCTGTATTATTTCATGTTTCCTTTATTATGTGAATTTGTTATGTCCACAAATAAGAAGACATTCCATCAAATAAATAAATAATTCACAAAATTTATCAACTCACTCTTAAATATACGTTAATTTTATTTTTAATAAGTATTTCAATAAAGCTACTTTCCATAAAAATGAGATTTTTGTTATATGTAGCTAGGTTAATTAAGTTATTAGTGAGAAGAAAATATTTATACTCTTATCTTTATTCGCTTTTCAACAGAAAATGTGAAGGTCTGAGACAAAAGGTCATTAACAGTTTTCAAAATCAAAGTACATGTGCGTTCCAGAATCCGCGTAATTTTTCAAGGATTAATGTCCCAGAAAGAACAGTTTGTTAGTGAAAACTTTCGGAAAGATATATTTTTTCAAGGTGCAATTAGGATCTGTGATCGATGGGATTATTTACTCCAGATTACAGAAATAGTGGATGTTTTTGTGTTAAGGGTGAAACGCTCTTTCATATCCGTCATTTGCAAGTTGCACATTTTGAGTTGAGAAATCACCACAGTTTCCCCTTTAAAATCAAGAATATGCAGACCACAATGGTTTCTTAAACTGAGAAATTAGCAAATGACAGGCCCCACTTATCTGTGTATTACCATTTCACACAAGTAGCCATCCAGATGACACTCCTTAAATAGTACTTCAAAGACGGAAATTGATAAATTCCAGTGGTTTTTATGCGTGATGATACGTGAATCACATTCCTTCCAAGAAAATCAATGTGATTATTATAATGTATAGTTGTTTTTTACAAACTCCCAAATGTTTTTAAGATGTCTGTCATCAAAGTCTCTCTGAAACTATTTGTATGACCTATTGAAACCATACAAGCCATTCTGTTTCTATTAGAGAGACAAGTGTTTCAAGTCACCATAGTAGGAATAAATTCGGGTTTATATCAATGAAAAGATTGTTTGGTAGAGGGTAAACGTTTCCAAGTGTGAACAGAGTACTAGTTGTTTAAGGTTATCTGTTTTGCAGAATATTGTGGTCAATAGACTGAATGCACATTTTAGAAGTAAATTTTTTGAAGCAGAGATTTATTATGCTTTTAACAAAACTCTTGATTATCAGAAAGAACGTTATGTTTGTTTTCGATAGATATCTACGGAATATAGAATGGATGTTTATCTCCATAATCATTCGAATTGGTTATACTGTATTTACTAGTCTCCTCAAACTTTGGATTAATAGTCTCAGGCTGGGTCATATTATATGTTATTGTGTAGAGACGTGATAAATAAATTAAGATACTGCGATTATTTGTCTTTTGAGAATTCAATGATTTTGTTCTTTTTACTTATTCAGTGTATTCAGCCAAAGTTTCTGTTCACTTGAGCTGCAAATGCAAGTGCCTAAATATGCTGTTAAATTACCTTCTTAACTGATAGGTTAATTAATAGTAATTGTTTTTATTATGATTGCCTCTGGCGATTAAAAATACGACTACTCTTTTTCTGATCGTGGAAAACACCCATAAGGACATTAGAAAGAAGAGAACACGAGGTTCAGCAAAGATATCTTTTCGGCAGTTTCATTTTCAAAGGCTGCACAATCGCATTTAAATACACAGTTTTACATGGATGCATAATTACGACGGCGAATAAAAGGTGACAATTATTTTCGACTAGATCTGGCTTGCGAGAGGCTTAGAAACAAAATTAACACAGGATTAAAACGGATAACAAGTGTGTAAAAAATGCGCATGGAAACAAAATTGAAATAATAATTTTAACTTGAGATGGAAGTTAGGAGGTATGAATATAGATTACGAGAGCCTTAGAAACATGAAAATTGCGCAAGATTAAGATATAATTGAAAAATAGTTATTTTAAACGAATTATAATTGTGAGCAGGAAAACCATGGAAACAAACTTAAAATAACTGTTTTTATAACTGAAAAAATGGGGTACTTTTGGTAGGTTTCTGTTGTCTTTGTAAATTACTTTGAAAGAATCAGTTGAGATGTTGTGGGAGGTGTTGATCAGATGTTCAATAATGGTACTTCTGATTGAACCGGTGCCTCCTCTTTGTAGCCACGCTGGGTAATGTTCTCTAACACGTTTCGAAAGGACGCGCATACAAAGAACTATGTACCACGTTGTCAATAGCTGAAATTTACGCTTTACTTTATTGAATTTCAGACAGAAATTAGTTTTTATAGTTCATTAGTTAAGGTTTTCAGGAGGTAACATGCCATTTTAGCTGGAACCACTAAGAAAACATTAACCTGCACACGTTTACTTTAATCTCTAAAGTATTGCTAGAGTACTAACCATCAGGTTTAAGCTTGAGAGATATGCTAGCAACACCAGCTCTCTGTGGCACTATTCTTAACTGTATTTATCTGATGAATTCACAAGTTAATCAGTGCACAGAGTAACAGGCGAAACCTACATTTCAAATTATTGAATTATTATTGAAGTTTACTGTAAAATATGAAGTGATGAATTTAAGTTCTTATTAACTATAGGAACCTTGATTACAATTTGGTAGTGAAAATTTAAATTATTAGCTAGATGGTTGCTATATTGGTCAATTTGTATTTCCATACATCCATGATTATCATATATCCACATATCTAAAGAATAGATATGATAAACGTTTGAAGTATGAATAATATTTAGTTGTCAGAAGTGTTGCACAGCCACTTTGTTTGGTGTATGTAACTTATCACCCCATCCCCTAGCAATCATCTTCAAATGTAAGTATCTGAAGCGCCTACTTTAACCGCATACGTAAAAAAGCTTTTTTTCTATAACACCAGCTGGCAAATAAAAATGTCAGCCTTATCACTTTTAAAGAAGAACTGCTTTCCTTCACATACTGTTGTTTGAAGTGTTCATCCTGTCTGATTCTTACACACCATTCTGTATTCAGATATCTTTGGAGTAGTCAAGTAAACTGAGAGGATATTCATAAAACTGTCTAAATCAAGTGTAAGGTAGACTCCACTTCAGTTACCGATAGCTTCACTGTCTACAAAATCTGGTGGAAAGACCATTATTCGGAAATGTATTCAGATTCAGCAGGATTATATGTGAACATCAGAACAATGAATGTCGTAAGAAAGCTAACTGAAATTATTTTCCAGCGCAGTATGTTAAAACGACATTTTCACATATTCCCTTGCTAATTAATCATTTTAGGAATAAATTTCATCATATTTACACGTCACTTAAAAACTGATTCAAAATTGTTGTATCCAGACTTGTGCTATTCGGTAGTGCATCAGCATAATCAATTACACAATTGTATATCAACCATCATACCTTAAAGGGAATTTCACACTATCCAGCGTTTGAATTTGTATTGAAAATCAACTCAGTACTTTTCAGCTTTCACTGACTTCATAGGTAATGTACACACCTCCACCACTTTATTTTAAACTCTTTCTGAATTTAAATATTTATCTATGCACTTGCATACAGAGGCGGAGATGAGTAACACGTAACGTTACAGCATGAAGTTTACTCATCATGAGATGTGATGAGCTAGCGTATCAAAACACATCTTTTGTGGTTATGAATTTAAATACAAAACGGTTATCATTTTTCTTCTTCTAATGGGAGTGACTGCAGTGATAGTGACAAGGTTATAAACTTTCTGAGTAAACAACAGTAGTGTTTCATTTTTCTATCGTATATAAGTGCGGCTGATTAATGACAGTCATCACTAAAGGTATTTATAATACTCTTCCATTGATAAATAAGCTTCCTTGTTATATTTGATTTCACTTACCTAACAAGGTCAAAGAGTCATTTCATCAATAAACTCTATTTAAATCGCTGAAAATATTTGGTTCGTTAAACATATTGACAGAATCCGCTTTTCTACCTAAAAATGTGAAATTCGATTATAAATAGACGGAATTAATCTAGATTGAAATGTCATTGATTCACAGTAAGTTGCCTATACCTTCTGTAATTTCTTTAGCATAGAAATTATTTAAATACCTGAGCAATTTGCACCGAAGAAAGTTAGTGAATATGCATTTTCTTTGTTGTAATTTTCGGTTTTGTTGACGAAATTTCCCATAATACGGTTCACCCTTTTCATGTTGTCTAAATGACTCCATAATGAATTCTCTAAGTGTACTGACGGATAACAAGTGCTGATATGATTAAACAGAAGGCAACGTTTTTTGCAGTTTACTAACCTGAAGTGACAACTTATAAAAAGGAATATAACGGACAAAATTCTTTTTCATGGTAATTATTACACTTACTTGCATGGCTATGTATAATTTCATTTGAAGTAATTATTTTATCAGATTCAAGTTACAACGTATGTCAAGCTGTTAAACACTTATACAGAAATGTTAATATACAAATAATTATTGCACATTGAATTAGAATCATAGATAAATTGACTCAAACAAATTAAATGAGTTATGCAGCCAGAAATTATATTTAGATTATATTTGTGAAACCATTTTACGTCAAGGAAAAGAACTAATTCCACACTTCATGGACGACTGAACTTCTTATAATTCACATTAGATCATATGATACTTATTTTAATGTAGAAAATACTGTTTTATCGTTAATAGTATTTGAATGACAAATGAAGGCTAATGTATTGTTTATATTCCCCATGGAAGTGTACATTCCATGATCTTCTCTTAAAAACCGTGCAAATTTACACTTCACATTTTTTCAATGACTGTGACAAACCTCACAGTCTACTGGTGCAAAAGATATTCAATGGATAAGCAAATCACCATCAGCAGCTGACAGCAATTTTTGAGATTGAACAACGGACCAAAGTGTCTCACTGAGGTTACTTTTCCACAAACTGAAAAACGTATACATTGAGCTATGATTTATCGATGAGTAAGACAAGGCGTTTCAGAAATTTATCGTTAATCATTATTAATCAATCTATGGCAATGCAAAGTTAGTATAGTGTCTGTTTTATTAAAACCTTCCTAGAGGTCTATTGTCAGCTGTCTTCAGTAAATAAGTAAGAAAGCTCATGATGTGGAGGCCTCAAACATAAGCTGTGTTACTAATTTAACCCATTTGC